CACAAACTTCTTCACATAAGAGACCAATCCTCGCTCAAACTTTCTAACCTTGTGTAACTCATTCGCAACAATGTGAGGAGCGAATCGGGATAGCTCTGTAAACTTCCTCTCGTACTCACTAACTGACATCTCATTATTCTGTTCCAGCTGCATGAACTCTGCTGCCTTCTTCTCCTTCACTGATTGTGGAAAGTATTTGTCGTTGAACCGAGTTTTAAAATCATTCCAGATCATAGTTGTAATGTCCACAACCATCCTGGTCTCTGACTGTCACCACTGGCGCGCCTCACCAGATAAAAGAAATGCACCAATCTTCCTTTTCTGCACCTTAATGCAGTCCATCATCTCAAAATACTTTTCCATATCTTCAATCCACTTCTTAGCATCAAGTGGATCGGTAGCTCTAGCAAATTCAACAGCCCCCAATTTGCGGATATCTCTGATAAATCCAATCATAGGATTTGGCACATGAGGTGCATCCTCCAACTGAACATTGTCATGGTCAACACCACCACGACCAGCACCTCCTTGACCTCTACCTCTAGCAGGTCGTCCTCTGCCTCTTCCAGCTCCTGACATCCTATTTTCAGTAAAGAATGTCAATGATAAGTCTCACAAGTAATTTATACTTAAATTGAAGCATGGTAAGAGAGCAATAATTCGTAAAAGTATATACTCCTATTCTTACTATCACTTCTCTTAGCTAGGTAATTCTTAACCTAGGCTCTGATACCAAACTAACAACCCACTCCACCACATGGTATAATATTGTCCGCTTTGGGCCTGAGCCCGCACGATTTTGCTCTTGGACTTCACCCCAAAAGGCCTCATACCAATTGGAGGTGACACACTTACATATAAGCACTTCACCTTTCCTCTACCCAGGCGATGTGGGACTGTGCACCCGTAACTCGCCAGTGTGGTAGCCTGACAGTGTCTCTCGCACCCGCCCACGGCACACCCATTCACAAGGTCATCACATTATAAGTACTGCTATAAGTGCAATGATATATGTTTATGTTAGTTTTAGTGTTCATGCTATGTGTATATTGAACTAATGTTTTATGTTTTCATCTAAAATGTCAATAGATATATGTCACACTGTTACGTGTTTGTGTAGTGTTTACTTTTGGTGAAAATTGAAAGCGTCTTCTATCAATTGGAACTGCATTTTTTATGGGTATTGTCTTAAATGAATTATCTTATTCTATTCGGGGAAGTAGAAAAAATTATTTTGCTGGAAATGAGGTCCTGTTATAATGTTTTGAAGGAAGGTGTTGTAAATGGTTTGTATCTGATTGGAAAAATAGGGTTTTACACAAGTAGAATATTGCGTTTCATTATACAACAGGTCCCAAGTCTAGATGAAGGAGGAGGGTTGTGTCGTAATGTGCATGTCAAGATATATATATATATAATGTGGCCCTGTACAAGGACTTTTAAGGAGTGGGTTTCGTGGCTTTTGAGGACTTGAATGGTCTAATTTGGCTCACAGGCTGTGTAAGTTGATTAAAAGGAGTTTGTTGAGTTGGATTGGTTCGGTTTGACTGAATACTAGTTCATGTTGAAATGTAGAATTGTATTCATATTTAATTGTATATATTAGCGGACGCACACTCATATATCTGTGTTGCATGTGTGGGATCTCATCTAGAAGCACGTGATAACTTGCTCGCTTGGTTTCAGGGCTTCACCACACCCCATGTGGTCTGTCAACTTGGGGATCTTTTGCAATGGCTTGACAAGGGCCAACACTTAAAAAAATAAAAACAAAACAAAAGGCCAAATATAATAGGTCAATGGCCTCACATAATTTAATGCCTTCAAAGACAACGTACATTTATGATCCATAAACGTTGATAAAGATAAGATGACTTGGCAAGATTTGATTGGGTTGGAGATTACATTATAAATGTAATAAATCAAATCGTTTCACTAGGGTAAAATAATAAAATTGTTGCTACGTGGTGCAAATGTAATAAATAATATTGCAACTTCACATGATGGAATTGTAGTTAGTAAAATACGATATGAGAAAAAAACGGTTTTGGAAACGTATAAATATAATTATTTTTTTTTTTAGTACATTATAAAAATTAGGCTGGAAAAAACGAAAATGTAAAAATTCGAATATGAATACGAATGTGTATAATACATTTGAAATGATTAAAAATTTGGAACCAAAAATTCGGCTCTATATATACACATTATTATTATTTTATGTAAAATAAAATGTAACAGTTAATAAAATAAATAACTAAATGTTAAAAATACTAAAATAAAATTTCATTTTATGCAAATTGGCACTATCAAAATAACCATGGAAGAAATAAACTAATTAAATATAAATTAGTCAATAACTAATAACTACGAAATCGTAAATTCATCACAAATTAATAAAAAAAAAATTACTTCAAATGAGTTATCTAAAAATTTACTCTCTTTTTCCCATATTTTCTTGATAACCTCTCTCTCTCTCTCTACATATATATATATATATATATATATATATATATAGCAAATGCAAAAGTATAATTTATTAAAATTAAAATTTCATATTAAATTAGATTAGAGTATCACATAATGCATTTATGCATATGCATAAATCATAAAGTGTTTTCGGCTCATTTTATCTCTAAAAGGTTTATAAAATTTCAAAAATAAAATAAAATAAATATCTACTATTACAAACAAAAATTAAAAGATCTTAAAATAAAATAAAATCTACAACGATCTATATTTCACAAAATGTGTGTACCTATTACTTAATAGAAGACCATGCCTTGGCTTGGAGTGCTAAAGATAATGAATTTAGTATAAAAAAAAAAAAAAAAAAATTGCATTTGAGAAAAAGATATTGAATTTACTAAAAAAACAAAATTATTTTTTTAGAAAAAATATAGAATTAAAATTGTATTGGGAAAGTAAAACGGTTGGATAAAAAAAAACTTATTAAACAGGTGGCTGACACGTATCAAAACGTTTAAAAACATTTAAAAAAACTTCATTCGGGCTGGTGATAAATCGTATCTATAAAACCTAAAGAAAAAATTTTTCAAAAAAATTCATGGCGTATAATTCACGCTAGCGCAACAGCACGACCTCTTCATACTCGAAGAGAGTAAGGGAGGGATTCAACAATCATCCTAATGGTATAAAGTGTTTTGTTTATATTTTTTGTTCACCCTCAATTTTTATTAAACTTATATGCAAATAATGTCGAAGTTGAGTCTATTAAAAATAAATAAAAATTTGTTGCTTCCCAGTTCCCATAGTTGATCTTTTGATGGATCAAATACGAGAAGGGAAAAAAAGGTAATAAAGTCTTCTTCATGATTAGCTGCCGTGGTAATCTCTGTCTCTTTCAAACTGCAATTTCTACCGAACTTCTCATGCAGCCCAACAGATTTTTAGAAACTGTATTGGGCTTCGTTCCTGTTTACGGAATAATGGGCTTGGTATGCATTGTACTGTTTGTACAGGTGTTCTAAGCTTATAGTATCTGAGGTACGCCGCGGTACGCCGCATTGATGACTCATTTTAGGCTTGGCCATAAACTGGGACCAAGAGGATAAAACCAGTGTGGATTCAACTTATCTATTTATAAAAAAATAAAAAATAAAAAAAAAAAAATGAAGATAAGTTCCACTGTTTTTATCCTCTTGGTCCCTGTTTATGGCCGAGCCTAAAATGAGCCATCAATGCGGCGGCCTACCTCAGACATGTTTGTTTATTGTTTAGGCCATATGCAGTCGGTAGTGAACCCGTCAATAATGATATTTATTTATGTCCTTTTTATTTACTTTTTCTTTTTTAAAAGTGATAATTAATACCATTATTTCAAGTTTGTTTGGTTGTCTTTGTGTTTTTTTTTTTTTTTTGATAAGTAAGTTTGTTTGGTTGTCTTAGGTCTGATTTATCTTGTTCCTTACTAAATAACTAAAAAAAATAAAATCAATACCATTGCTTTGCCACGAAGAATGCTGTACAACCAGGGCTGAGTCAGGATTTTAGTTTAGGGGGCACAGTGTTAAGTAAAAAGAAAAAAAAAAATTATTTAAAGGAGTAGAAAGGAAAAAAATAAGAAAAAGATAAAAAAAAAAAAAAAAAAAATAAGTAAGAAAAATGATAACTTGAAAAGGAAAAAAATAAAATTTAATTTAATAAGAAAAATTTAACCATAGATGCCTCGATAGTCCAGTGGTTAGAGCCTCCGGTGAATTTTAGGAGTGTCGAAACACTACTAATCTAACTTTTAACCCAGAGATAATTTTAGGAGGGATTATATAAAAAATTTCACATATATAAATATAAAATAGAATAATTTTTTTTATTTTTTAATTAGCACTACTTGTATCCTAAACGCTCACATTGCCAAAGTAGAAGTTCAGGAGATGCCAAAATTTTAAGGTTTAGAGTTTCCAATTTTGGCTAAAAAACAATAAATGCAATTCATTTCTTATCTTTACAAGTTGTTGTTTATCTAGAATCTATTTCTTGATACGTTTATTATTATAAGTCCATATGAGGTATTTGAGTTCACTTTGAACATTGCTTGTCAAGGTCAAATTCAACTCATTCGATTTGTTTTAGTTAAATAAGGTATTTGAATTCACATGGCTTGCCAAAGTCAATTTCTCAACTCATTTCTTAACCTCAAAAATGGCTCAATAATAAACCTTATTTTATTTTTATACAATAATTCAACGATTTGAATTTAAAATCATAAATTAAAAGTACTCTCAAACATAAAATTAATTTAAAACTCAAACTCCTTCGATAACCGAGTTTTAGTTGTAAAGTTCGAATTGAAAGTTTAATTGTTCTTTAAAACACTCGCACGAATCTTGAGACTTCTTCAACCAAGGCGCAATACACAACACGTTTTTAACCGACACTTCAGAAAAAGAAAATCAATAATGGCAATTTTTTGCTTCAATCATATTGAAAAATCAAGCAATATCGCAAGACCAATTAATTCCCAATTCACACAGACGATGAAGGCTCCAATAAATAAATTTATTACTCAGTAGTATATTTCTTTACACGGATATATAAGAGAAGAGAGATAAAAAAATAATGTGGCCATTTCTCCATATGGAATACACGAAAAAAAAATAAATAAAAGAATTTGTAATTAATGGAGCATGTATGTAATTGCCAATGCCAGAAGTAGAAGGAAGTAAGCTATTCCTTGGTCGATCGTTGTGCCTGAAAAATCAAAACAAATATTACATTTTATTAATTTATTATCATACACGTGAATGTAAAAAATTAACCACAAATAAAAAAAATAATGAGAAAATTGGTGGAGTTACTTACTGTCACTGGTTGGACCAACTGGTGCAGGCGAAGGAGCAATGGCTTGCCCATCAATGATTTGCAGAAGTGCCGAGAAAATCAATCCGACGATTGGGAGAGCGAACAATCTCATTGAGTTCATCTTCCAATTCCAAATATGAAACTATGGAAAAAGCAAAAGAATCTGAGAAATTAAAAAGAAGAAATACTAGAAAATTAAAGAAGGGGAAGAAGGGTAACAGAGGAAATCTTGGGTTTTCTGGTTTGTTTTGGATGATGGATGGAGAGTATGGTGGGTGCTTATATATATGTGTTTGGGGATATATGGATTTTCCGGGAAAGAGAGAGAAAGTTCGGGGGTGGGGTGAGAGGTCAGCAGGTACGCGCATTGTTTATGAATTTCGTTTTTGGGATTAATTTGACCGGGTGGGCGGCGAAATTGACTCGGACACAAAAGGTCACTTGGAAGAGTCGCTGGACGATTGAGAAACTGCCTCGTGTTGTGGAAATTTCGTCTCGTGATCAAAAGAGGCCAACGGACCAGATTCTTTTAATTAGCTAATACTCAGATTCAAGGGACGGATTCTCGTGATGTAATGGAAGAAATGTCAAAAGGACATTACCGAATGATGTCTCAAATGATTAAACAAATCAAATTAATGTTATTAAATTCATTTCATTCACACAGGCCAAATTGAGTAATGTTCTGAAACTTCCGAATTAAAGTCGTCACACCGTGTGAACAACTCATGTTAACATTCTAGAAATTATGAACATCTGTTAGATATCACGTCAGGTGTGAGACATGTATTACATGCAATCTTAATTATGATTAAAATTATTTTAAAATTTAAATATTTTATTTTCTAAAATATTATTGTATTTATTATTGGTAGAATAAAGAAAAGGAAATACTACACTTACATAAAATTAGGAATCATAAATAACAAAAATGGTCTATTTTAAAATTTTATTTTTCACTTTGATTGAATTAAGTAAAGTAATTAGCATAAATAACTATTATTTAAGTCCAAAATACCTTCCAAACATTTATTCAAGTTATTCCAAAATACTAAAAATTATTCCCCTAAAATCAAGTACTTTCTTAAAATAATTTTTTTACTTGAAAAATTTAGAAAAACGAAGATCTTTCCTAGCCTTTAACTTTGAATCATATTGCTACAACTTTCGTGCGCGCGCGCGCACATGAGAACTTACACAAATAATAAAAAAAGATTCAATATAGTAAAAAATGGCGCAATCAAAGGTTAATCCAAAATATATATATATATATATATATATATACACACACACACACATACTTAAACTCAAGAATATATAAATTGTTTTTGTTATGGCGCATGTCTTGAGATGATCATTAATATTTTGACTCAATTAATTACACTTGTTTTATAAATAAATAAAATAACTGCTGGTGTACTATATTTACTGAAGCAACTATTTAGTTTTTTCATGATCTCCCTCTTCTATGCATGTGTTCTATATGTATGTGTGTGTGTGTGTGTATATATATATATATTTCATAGGAAAGTTTTCACATTTGTGATTTGAAAGCGATATCACACAAAATCCACTAATCGCGAATTAACAAATATTTAAGGTTCCTAAATCTACTCAAGTATACTTTTCTGTAAATAAAGAAAATCAATAGAATTTAAACTATAATATGGATGAATTAGAAAAATAATATAAAATTTAGGGAGAAAAAAAAAAAAAACACAGATTTCATTCATAATTATAGTAAGGATAAAATGAACAAAAATATTGCAGTATATGTTTCATATGTGTGTGTGTGTATATATATATATATAAAATATTATATTATTAGTTTTAAACATTTATTTGACTTTTAATTTTGTTTTGAAATTTATCTTATTATATTATATCGTATTGGTATTTTATATCCGTATCTATGTTTCTTAGTTAACATTCATTCTATTATGTGTGGAACAATAAGAAAGAAGTGCGGTCGGTACAATTAGAAACAATGGTGGTGTTAGAATGAGTATGCAGGGAAAATGTGAACATGGAACGTACCTTCAAAGCATCATAAGGGTTAGGTCGGGTTTGTGGTCCATGTTTACCAACTAGTCCTTGTCCAAGCAGATGAACCATGCATGTCCAATTTTAACAAGTATTAGAGTTGTCCTTTTGCTAATTTTGGATTAAACTGGAGATGCATCCATCAACTTGGCTGCGTTAATGTCGAGGAAAGTGACTTTTCTTGGACCATAGCTTCATTCAAAAAAACGTTCGATATTTAAAGAAAAATGCTAATATTTCTCTCTTTTTAACATTACAAGCTTTAGGCCACTGGATCATTAACTTAATTGGTGTAATCTCTCCTTTTTCAATATTTATCAAATCAAAGAAAAAAAAAAAAAAAAAATTATCGGCTCTAGTTATCTGACACACATACATGAATAGTATGATAATTTTTTTTTAATTTTTTAATGCTAATCCAATTTATACAGAAAGACAATTGGAGAAGTCGTCTTAGAAAGCAACACGTGCAGTTTCTAGAGGAATATATGGGTTAACTAAACCTTCCTGTTCCACTTATATAGTCCATGTGTGAAAGTTTGCCGACACTGATAAACTGAACCGTCTTAGTTCGGATTGGGAAAACTCCATTTTGTGAGCCACTTTCAGATAATGCACCAATTCGTAGGTTAAGGTATAACTTGAACCCAATTCAACATACGCTTAGATTGAGTTTCATGAAAAAGTTATTTCACGATATAGTTAAACGCACTGTTAATTTTATTTAAAATTGATAATTCACAATGAAACAACACAATTCTCCCTAAAAAATTGAAGTACTTCAGTTACATATGCCTTGAAAGTTATTCAAATATTGCATCGAAATTTTAACTTAAACAAAACCTTCGAGACAACAAGAGAGCCAGCAGCTAGCAGCAGCAACACACGAGTACACAGACCATCTTGCTGCAACCTTACCTTTGACATTTTTAAGTCATATATAGCATATTTCAAAAAAAAGAAATTTCCCTTCTGGAAAGTCATTTTACATGTTCTGTCATAGTGCTCTCACTTCATATATAGCTTGTTTCCTGGTGGAGAGTACACAACTATAAAATCATATACATTCACAATTTCACATCACCAATGGTTCAAATTTTGTAAATAATTAATACTCCATATATACAAATCCTTCGCTTATCTTGAGAAGCTTATATATTTATATATAAACAAAAAATATATGCACACCTTAAGTATTAATCATTAGATTCTATTGAGCAGTTAAAAAAGTAATGTATATTGATCATGTGGGTCATCCCTAACATATTTGGAGTTTGGACCAGGCCTTTACAAATACAGATAATCAATTACAATATATTAAGTAGCCTAATGGGGGCTAATACTCCTACACTGTCATTGTCAATGTGATCAGCCTTGAATTACTAAAACACAGACCAAATGATTCCATCTCTTTTAGGTATGCAAAAAACAGCTCGAGACCCAGAGCCCAGCCCAAATATTGGCCCGGTCCTCAAGAGGAGTCCTTCGGGCTTGGGCTTGGGCTTGGGTCTCACAGCCTAGCCCAGTTCCCCAAGCTACCCTCCCCTGACCCCAGAGTAGCCCAAACACTATCTCCACCCAAGTGGGGTGCTATCATCCACCTTCCGTTAGAATCCGAGTAAGAGCAGCATCAGCATCCTTTTGTCGCCTTTCAAATACCACCCATCCACTGGAATTAAGCCAAACATCAACAAACAATCTCTATGCACATAATATATTATATACGAGTACAACGTGCACTGAGAAAAAGAATCAAAGAACCTGCAAAATTCTCTAAACATACAGTTTTGCTTTTCTAATCTAGAATCCAACTTTTATTGCCAAATCCATTCAAAGCCCCTTACAAAAACCAGTGGCCGGATACTAATACTAATACGACAGCGACACCATAGACGGTGCCTAAACGTTCATGGGAGTCGTTGTGGGCCACCACATACTTACAATCATGTTTTTAACTTGTCAGGCCATGTTTTGGAGAAGTGAGGTGGGGGTGACTCGTTTCTCAGACAAGCCTCATCAGCATAACTAACACATATGGTCATTACACACACCAAAAAAACACCTCGTTAAAGCTTTAAAAAGCAAACCCTCTGTGGGGGGAATCTAATCTTTAAAAGCTCTTTATACCCAACTTTACTTAGCCACCCCTTCTCCTTTTCTTTCCTTCTATGTCATAAATTCACCCACTCTTTTCTTAGGGCACAAGAATTTTTCTTTTCAATCTATTCCCATAATCCTCTCAGAGCAACAAAAAGGAACAAGAAGAGCAGAAATCAATAGAAAGAAGAAAAAAATGTGTCATCCAGGTTTTCCATTAGTTGGCTTACAGGTGTTGAAGGAACAGCGCAGACGCTATATTTTGCAGGTTTTACAGGCACTATATGTGGTTGGAACAGAGATACAGCACTCGCCAGCAGTGGTGGTTGGAGCAGCAGCAAGAGGTGGCAATCATGGCTCAATTAAGCATTGTGTGTGTTCACCTACAAAGCATCCAGGGTCATTTCGATGCAGGCATCACCATGCTGAGTATGTCTGGAGTGGCAGGACAACACAAAGTGAGCCTAACGGTAACAGTTAGTCATGTAACATCAAAGAAAAGATATGTGTAGTTCAAATGTACTGCCTCTTAAGAAATGGACCACGAGGCAAATCCTCTCCCTCTCTCTCTCTCCTTTTACTTTTTTCCATCTATGGTCACGGTATGAGACTTCTTAGAGCACTTTACATACAATTCTTCCATCTCACATGCCATAGGCAATTACAGAAGAAAATTATCTGAAAGTGGCTTAAAAAAAAATCCGAACTCCCCCAACCTTCAAGATATGAAGATGGGAGGTGGAAGTCTTGCCATTTAACTATCCCTAAGAATTAGAAACTTAAAGTGCTTCTCAGATTTTTAGTTTCCCTTCAAATTTCATAATCTCTCTCTTCAACAACACATCACTCCATCCAAAGGTAAGGGATAATACTCAGTAGGGTAAAGTGCAAAAAATACCCCACTATTCAACACTGTTCATATAACTCTCCTATAGTTCGAAACAAGTATATAACAACTTTATACTTTAAAAAAATGTTGCATATTACACTCCCTCGTACATGTGTGGTTCACATGACCAAATTTCCCCGTAATTCCCAAATTACCCTTCAGTTACCAAATATCCCCCTCCCACATCAACAAATACAAAAACATGTATATATAAGAATAACAATTTCTACACGTCTCTCTCTCTCTCTATTTTGTCTCTCTGTCTAGTGAAGAGAAAATGGAAGATACTCCTAAATAATATGGCAAGCACCCAATACCTCATAGACTCTAAAACTCAACCTCAAGCAGTTCAGTCCAACAAGATGACTGCTCGCTCAAGCGAAAGCTAAAGCTAAAGAGACTTTATATACCGCAATCAATATTTTGTCTCCATGGCTCTGTTAACTGAGCAATATATAACTATATGGAATCCTTCAGGGCCACCTTTCAATGGTACAGCATTTCTACACCAACTGGCCCCATGGCTATTAATTCACTAATGTTATCTCCTGAGTACCAACTCATCTCTGAAAGTTGACCCTGAGCTTCTACAGTGAAGGAGCATATTTGCCGCATGACATCGGAAAACATTGACTTCCTTTCTGAAAATACCCAAAGTGTATGTAATACCACTTTTCTTATAATTCACTCAGATCTGGCTGAAGCGCATCTAACAAATTGAATTGTTTTTCTTTTTAATTTTCCTTGTATAAATATCTAAATAGATTGAAAATTAAGTTGTGTAAATAACAAGATGTAAATTGATTGAGATATTGATTGATCCTGTTTCATAACAATATAGATCTTCTTCATCACACACTATATTGCAACTTAATAATATATGTACCAACAATTCAGACTCCACACATTAAACAATATTTATGAAGTATTTGTTTCTGCTCCTCAAACCTATGCCCCTTCTTTCAACACGATGCAAGACAATTTCTGGCTCCAGTGGTGTGCACCACAATGAAGTAAAATTAGCAAAGAAAAACTAAATTCACCTCCTTACTAAAATCATCTCCTTTCCTTGAGCGAAGGTATCAAATGCTCTATAACTCCAGTTCCAATGATATTCACCACAATCACTGTGAAAACAAACACAAGTTCAATTAGCAAAGAAAACCTTATGGCCATTCGTCTCTTCAGCTAATGAAGCACATTGTTTTCAACTTCCTACAAACAGATATAGCTACAAAATACACACAATTGCAAGGATTAGTCATCATCAAATTTTCAATTTACAGCTCCGATTCCTAATCACAGTGCATATGAACCCACAGCATAGAACATCAGAGAGCACATCATTTCCCATTACATAACTCAAGTGAATTACTATAATACTTTATTTTATCATGAATGTGTGTGTGGGTCAGATGAACTGTATGATGAGGAATCCAACATCAAATAAATGGTGTTAATAATTTAACAGTGAACAGGCACAAAAACTGTCCAAACCAAATCAAAAGATTTTGCCAGTGTGATTGGAAAGCCACAGCCCATTAGCCAGACTGTTCTAGACATACATAACTAAAGGACTAGCTAAGCCTTTATGGTGTAATTTAGACGAGTTATAGAGAAGTTCCTCACCTGTGGGTAACAATCTTGACGGATAATTGTCTGGTCGGTTGTATTTGCAATAACTTCGCATGATATCCTTGCCTGATGGAAAGTTGAAGAACAAAAGTTTAAACACAGCGAGACCAAAGTTTTAACTGCTAATATACAGAGAAATAGAGGGGGGAGGGTGGGGAAAGCACTTAAAGGTTAAAGTAAATCACCATTACAGAACTCTCCTATATAATTGTAGAAGAAAAAAACAATAAAAGTCAAACAGAAGAATCTAGGGCATCCACATTTGATATTTCTATTATACAAAGGCTTATACAGCGTATCTCTTCTCTTTCCTTCAATTGAAGTTCGCTCTCTCTCTCTCTACACACACACACACACACACACATATATTATGCTGATGTCCAGAGAATTTTTGAACTCTTTTACTGCACTTTTGACCCACAAATAAATTCTCCTTACACCATTTACTGATTTCTTGTATTTATATAGGTATATTTCTAATTTTTTGATAATTAGGGTCATTTATAATTGCATTGTTTTCCTTTTGCTTTTCAAAAATTCCTTCTAGTTATTTTTCACATCTGATGCTATTTGTTCTTCATTTGGTGTGAACAAGTTTGGTTGAATGAATGATACACGTTATATTTAATCAAATTAATGTTATTACTCAATTTGCCCTAATTAAGTAATCTATTGTTAAATAACACCTATATATCTTAAATGAGGTTTACTGTCGTGGTAAAAAAAAAAAAAAACACAAACTTTGAACACCTGATGTAGTTGCTTCACAAAGGTTAGTGCCTCTTTTAAGATCAAGCACTGAGCAATATATGATCTCAGCACCTTAAGCGACCCTTTTACACTAAACTGAACAGCACATTTCCTTTCTAAACCTGCTTTCACCTCAATTACCATACTTTTATTAACAATAATGGCAAGACATATATCTATAATTAGAGAGTTATGATAAGGATTAGCTGATTAGGTTTCCTCATAAGGGGAGACTAATCCCTTTGAATACCTGCAACCACCCCCAAACCACAGGTATCGAGTAAGCCCAAAGAGGAGGTTTTTAATGATCCCAGGAATTTAACACAAGATGACTCAGTCCAAAAGCTTTGTGCCAACTCAGCTACCCCGCAGGGGTGTTATTTATCTCTCATAGTTTAGAAATACTTAAGAGTTAAGGGTTTTATCTGTTTTCAGAAACCTTGAGAGCATTTTTCACTCATTGTTCCACTTTGACGACAGTTCATTCCATACTATGAGGTGAATGGAACAACTAAGATGCCTGATTCACCAAACAATAATTGATCCATATGCCAGAAGTAGCATTTTACTACTTCAAAATCTTGCAAGGAAAGTCTTTTCGTCCATGAGAATTTCAATATCTCACGCCACAAGAAAAATAAGTACTTTTGATTACAGCCAACCAGTTCTAAATCTCTATTCCGCCAAAACGGAAACCTCTAAAATTCTGCCTGCTGTTTCAAAAATATATGAACTTAATAATTTAAATCAATCTAAAACCTTTGAAAGAGAAATCTGTGCTTATTTCTTTTTCTTTCTTTTTTTTTTATTTTATTTTATTTTTTATTTAACACTATGAGATACAAGTTGTATCTTAGATCAGCACAACCTACTAGTTCAACTAGAACTTTCTGTAGGGTGTAACAAGTCAAATTGCAAACTCTAATGCTGCACACCCATCCAAGCACATGAATTATAAATCTAACCTAAATACTTTTTACTTGTAGAAATTCTAGTCACAAAATTCTACAATAGGAACTTGGAAGAACCATATTGTGGCCCTCGTGCACAGCAGCACATGCATGGAGTGTCCCCAATACATAATACTATTTGATGTAGTAAATTCCAAAGGCATGGTACCAGAAACAGACATTGTTCACGGACTTCAAAATCAGGATAAGAGTATGCCAATGGTTATTAATACTATAGACGCAACAATCATATAGGTCGAATTAGTTGAACTCAATTGTATTAAAAAAAAAAAAAAAATTCTACTTTATAAAGCTATGTATTCTATATTTCAATATGTGAAATTCTCAACTTCAATTGGGGACTTATTGTATGTATATTTTAGGGTTCCATATATTCATTAATAATAATTTTTTTTTTTTTTTTTTTTTTTTTTTCACAGAAACAATATAACCCTTTCAGGATGTTAAAACATAGTTTAGCCTCATAATTGCAGTTCCAGCTTATCAATTTCAACGTGTATCATAACGTATCAAACAAAAATTTCAACATGTATCACATACAGAACCCATTTGTATTGAACTAATTTTAGGTGTATATAATTTAAAAAAGGAACTAAATTTTCCAATTCACAGTCTCTCGATCAATTCAAATTTCCCCAAAATTTAAAATAAATACCTGAATAGGAACTTGGATGAAAAAGAGTCCGACAGTCCCTTTCACTTTGGAATGGGTATCGAAGGGAATCGAACCTCTGGCCAAATCTTCAAGCAAATAGAAGACATCGTGAATCACTTGGAAACCGTTGAGTTCAAGCGTGGCATTGACGTAGGAAGATCCTCTTGCCCTCAAATGCCCTCCGTTTGAGGTCACAAACCCTAACTCTCTCCCTCTGTAACCGATCGAGACGACGAGCGAAGAGTAATTGAGAGAGAAGAAGTCACGGTTGAAGACTCTGAGGGTTAGAAAGAGAGAGACGTCGAGGGAGGGTTGCGGAGAGGCGTGGACTTGGATGTTGTTGAGATGGAGACGGACGAGGGTGAGGTCCGGATCGGAGGGGTAGAGGAGGTAGGCGGCAGCGACGAAGAGGAGGAGGAAGGTGGCGACGCCGAGGCAGCGGCGGAGATCGTGCCGGTTGGTACGGTAGGTGCGGAGAGGGAGGAGGACGTAGGTTTGGTCGTCGACGGGGTGGGGTGGTATTGGGGCGTAGAAGACGACGGCCTCTTCTCGGCCCTTCGTTGTCATGTTCGCTGTGGTTAACCAAAATTTTGTCCCGCATCGTTTTATACAGACACCTAGATAACAGTCAATTTGTCAAAACTTGTCGTGGACTCGTGGGTTAAACTTAAAAAAATTACAGTACATGTTTTCAAATTTAGGTATATATATGTTTTTTTAAATTAGGTATTTACTTATCGTATTAAAATTTTTTTTATCTCTTTGTACATCCGTGTCTCTTTTTTCTTTTTCATTCCTAAAGAGCATTTGCTTGAATTTTATTTATTTATTTATTATTATTATTTTTTTCACCTCCCAATTTGACTAAAAATGGATTTCTATCAACCTTTCCAAGTAGTGCTACATATCATGGCATAAATACACCTTGTACATTTTTGTGAAACTTTATGGTACTTCAAGTATAGGAATCCCAGGCTATCATTCAATATTTCTGTTATATCTCAAGTGTATGGATCAAATGGTCAAATATGTAAAAATTAGTTAAAATTTAATCTACAAGCATCTTCTAATTCGCATTATATATATATATATATATATATATATATATATTTACCTTGATAAGTTGTTTGTTTCTCCAGATTTGAATTATGTACCGTAGTAAGCTCAAATTGGGATGGTGAGGAAGACAATGAGGGACCATGTTCCAATTTTAATGGTTATGATTTTAATTGGAGAAGGGTTAGGGGATGGATTCGTCTTGTACAGAGTCTTTTTATCTGAGCTCAGTTATGACTTAAGAATCACAAAAACATACAGCCAACAAATCCTAATAAGCAATTAAATGTCTTAATTGCAGAATATGTTTTATTAATGTTAACAATATATTCAATTGAAGAATATGTTTTATTACTTCAACCATAATAATAACAATATATTCAATTCTAATAGGATTATTTGGAATTTACTAACTTTATTTGTATTAATTTTTTTTTTTTTTTTACCTCTTGATGATCTTTGAGAATATCTTAATAATTTTAGTCAATATATTCAATTCTAATAGGATTATTTCAAATCTATAATTTTGTCTCAAATGAGTGTTACTTCAACTATAATAATAACAATGTATTCAATAGTATTTTTTTTTTCCCGTTCTTACTGAAAATATAATACAGCAATTGTGTTTCATTTTTTTTTTTTTTCACCTCCCCAATTTGACTAAAAATGGATTTTTATCAACCTTTCGAAGTAGTGCTACTTATCATGGCATAAATACACCTTGTACATTTTTGTGAAACTTCAAGTACAGGAATCCCTCACCTGTAGGCTATCATTCAATATTTCTGTTATTTCTCAAGTGTATGGATCACATGGTCAAATACAAAAAATTAGTTAAACTTTAATCTACAAGCATCTTCTAATTCGCATTATCTCTCTCTCTCTCTCTCTCTCTCTCTATATATATATATATATATATATATCTGTTTCTCCATACTTGAATTATGTACCTTAGCAAGCTCAAATTGGGATGGTGAGGAAGACAACGAGGGACCATGTCCCAATTTTAATGGTTATGATTTTAGTTGGAGAAGGGGTAGGGGATGGATTCATCTTGTACACAGTCTTTTTATCTGAGCTCAGTTGTGACTTGAGAATCACAAAAGCATACAGCCAATAGATCCTAATAAGTAATTAAATATCTTAATTGAAGAATATGTTTTATTAATGTTCATTTATTTATTCTCCATCTTTAAAAAATTAACAAAAGCAATAGCATACAAACTGATTCAGATATTGACTTTATTTCCTTCCCCTTAATTTTCTTGGCAACCAAACATATCATTAGAAAATGCCACAAGAGTACAAGAATCTAAAATTCAGAAAATTATCTCTTTTGAATGGTAAAAACCACTGGCACAGTTTAATTTAGGTGCACTAATTAAACAGTACTGGCTTATACATTTTTTTTTTCTTCTTTTCTTTCCTTCAATTTAAGTGCTATCTCATCCTCTTTCTCCCACACATAAATTATATCTACAACGTTTTCTTTCTACTTCCCAAAAATGCCTTCTAGCTATTTTTCATAGCAGCTGCATCTACTGATTCAAATATTGACTTTATTTTCTTCCTTCAACTTTCTTGACAACCAAACATAGCATTAGAAAATGTCTTTGATTTGATTTGTTTTTCTTACCATTGTTCTCCATTACGAGTCAATGAGCAATCAAATTGCAAATGTCTTATGGTGGCCACTGCAAAGCCACGAGTACAAGAACAAAAGTTACAGAAACAGAAAGCGACTACTTATGCCTCTCTATCTTGGCTCCATCACAGATGTAGAAACACGATTTATTGAACAATTTTCTGACTTATTCTCTGCAGGTAAAGTTGGTGCGTTTCGGCTTCTCCCAGTAAAAAATGCTGGTTGTTTTGGATCACGTAGACACATAGTTTCATTTGTAAGCATAACAATAACATCTGACATGGTGGGTCTGTCATTAGCACACTCTTGTACACAGAGGAGACCAACATGAATACATCTCAGCTGTTGAGTTTTAGAGCAAGAGAAGTCCAGCGACGGATCTATTAGCTCAAGACTAATACCTTTCTTCCACAAATCCCATGCCTGCAATAATTTTCAGTTTTGATGTAAGACGTGAACATATAGTCCAAAGCTCATGATGCGAATAGAAATTTTAGGATTGTGATAACTTACATGTTCTATAAGGCTTAGAGGGCCGGACAAACGTGAAAAACTGGTATTTTTCTTACCGCTCACAATCTCTAATAGTAGGACTCCAAAGCTGTATACATCAGATTTCACCGAGAAAATCCCGTTCATGGCATATTCGGGAGACATATAACCACTGCATAGAATAATCAAACAAAATTAAGAAAATGTATATATTTAGAAGGCATATACTGTATGTATGTGACTATTCCAATCAAATTTTGCTTGTACTTACTATGTACCAACAACCCTATTTGTATTTACTTCAGATTCATCTTGTCCAAAAATTCTAGCCAATCTATTTTTGGATTCATTTTATCATCAAGTAAAATGTTACTGGCTTTTAAGTCTCTGTGTATTACTCTCATTCTGGAATACTTATGAAGATAAAGAAGTCCTTGTGCGATACCCTCAATGATATTGAGACGTCTTTTCCAATCAAGTTGTTGCCTCTTAGTTGGATCTGTTGCTAGGTAAAATTAGAAAAATATTGCAACAAGTGGTCAAGCTAGTAAATACTAATTAATTAAGAGTACCAGTAGATAGTAATTAAATTGCGGGTTTACCAACCAAATAGAAAGGAATCCAAGCTTTTATTTGGCATATATTCATAGATTAGAACTTTTTCTTCTCCTTGGATACAACCACCCAATAGCTTGACAAGATTCATATGTTGAAGTTCAGCAATTAGAATAATTTCATTCTTGAACTCTTCTAGTCCTTGTCCTGAACTTCTAGAAAGTCTTTTTACTGCCACGTGTTGCCCAGTTGGTAGTGCACCCTAAACATGTTTTAATTACCTAATGTTATATATCATCATTAGCTTAATTCAACAGGATCGGTTTAAGAGTAACAAAGTTTTACCTTGTAGACTGGTCCAAAACCACCCTGTCCAAGCTTGTTGACAGATGAGAAGTTATCAGTGGCAGAAACTATTTGATGAAAACTGTACAACGGCAATTGTTGACCTTTCCTTGTATTGAATTTGAACTTATCTGCAACATCATACTCGTAGGAACGTATTGTTTGAGATCTTAATGTGATTAGTGACTTCCCGTGGCTTCTTTCCCTCTCTCCTAAAAAACAATTACATAATTTTTTTTTAAACCCAATTAGTCATGCATATATATTTGCCACGCATTTGTGAACATGCATGCATTGAGAGAACATCGTTTAACCATCACCTGTTTGTTGCTTCCAGTTTGGATTCCTCTTTCTTAAGTGGCATAAGAAAATGAATAGAAGCTTTGCTAGAGTGGGAATGATTGCCACTAGGCACCACATCCACCACCGCCCCCAAACTTTGGTACTTCCAGGTGGAAAGAAGCTTCTGCAATTGCTCAGATGACAACGTGGGAACTGGTGAGGATGAGGCATTTCTTTCGGTTCTTCCATTGGCTCTCCCGCTGGTTCTCCAATTGGTGCTTCTAGCAGCATTATTACTGGTGGCATTGCTAGAAAAATTTAATCACAAAATCAGCTTTTTCTAGGTTGATTTAGGGTAGTTGGTAGTCTCTAAGCTTAGATCATGGTCATAACCATTAATTGTGATCATACTTGTTTTCTTTTCTAGTCAACTTAAGGTACTTTTTAGTGCAATTTTGAGAAAGTGTTTTTGTTTGGAATATTTGTTCTGTATTTTGAGTCTAAAGTAATTTTATTATTTATAGAGCCTAATTTGGCCAAATAAAAAAGGAGAAGAGCAGTGAACTTTGTGAAAATAAGAAGCATATGAAATGGAAGAGCTTTATGTAAGTGCAATAATAGAGTGTCACACCATCAAAAGTGATATTAGCATTTCCACAAATTCCCCATAAAAGAGAGTGCATGTGTTTATTGCATCTTCCAGGAGAAAGTCTAAGCCCTTGATGGGTAATATCTTTCTGAATGTTACACATCATGATAAAGGGCACATTGCAAATTCATATCATTATATTTGATATATGCATATTGTTTGGCCTGATTTGTATCTGCCTGGCCCAAGACTTTTGTTGGTTGCGAGTGTGAAATGGTCAAAGAGAAGCGAATTATAAATCATCACGATTATGAAAAGTATGCAGTCATGCAACAGTATGAAACCTTTCTGAAATTTTGTGGTCATATTTTATCTGCGATTTTTGTGACACATGACATGCTTATTTAAATGATTGACACACTTTCCAACCACCGCCTTTTAAAAGATGAATGGGGGTGGAAATATTGAATGACAAAATAATCCTATAAAAGTAAAAATATATGCGTTGAGTGGAAGATAAATGGTAATAATAATATTAGAGTTACCTTGAACAGCAGTACCACTGAGAAGGTAAACCTCTGCAGAAGTTCCAAGTTCAGAGTTTAAAAATGATATGGTGTCCCAGAAT